TGAGCTAAATCACATTCCCCAATTAGCACAAAACTGGGCTTTTCTCTCCAGCCTCTCAGCCGCCAAAAGCTTATCAGAACATGTCCTTGAGTTCCCACACTTCTACATTGTTACGGCTAGCTAAACCTTCAGGCATTTACCCCATCCCCCTTTCTACATCTGAACTCTAAAAGAATAGAAATGCACGTTAAAAGCAAAAGTAAAAATGGCTGCTGGTTCTCAGTTGTCAGAGCGACGACATCCATTGTCACAGCATTGACACTGTTCCAAGTAAAGCTGCCTTTGCAAATGATTGATGGTGATTTTGTCAGTGTCAATGATGTTCAAGTGGTGCTCCAGATGTTTTGGATTACACCCAAAGTGTCTGTAACTGTTGGTACTATCTTTGCGTTCTTTTGCCAGAGTCATCCTACTTTTATTTGCAGGTCTTTGTATTTTGTGTCCCCCCCCCCAGTTCTTTCTCTTCTATTCTGTTTTTTCCAGGTACTGATTCATTTACCCAGACTTTTTATCTTTCTTTTCAATAGTTGCTAAGTTTGGGGTGTTAAGTGGCAGATGCTTGCTTGTCTGTACTCTACAGTCCAAGGGCACTTTAACCTTTTCATTTTCTATTATTTTATCTATTTTGTGTTCTCACCAGTTCTTGCTTGCGGACAAATGGTATTTCATGCAGACATATCAATGCACCACTGTTGCTACTTTGTCATGCTATTTGTAGTCAGTCTGTATGATCTTGCAGCAGCTAACTCGATGGTTCACTGTTTCTTCAGCTTCTTTGCAGAGTTGACATTTGCTCTCTGTTGCTGTCTTTTCAATTCTGGCTTTGTATGCATTTGTTCATAAGGCTTGGTTTTGTGCAGCCAGAATTAGCACTTCTGTCTTCTTCTTCCATTTTCCTGCTCTTAACCATTGCCAGGTCTATTTGCTATCTACTTTGCCTGCTTGTTTTTGGTACTAGTCATATAATACTTTGCCTTGCCATGTCTCTTTTCTACTCTTTATCACTAATAATAATAATAATAATAATAATAATAATAATAATAATAATAATAATAATAATAATAATAATTGCCACCTACTCCAAAAGGCACTTTTTATTGTTATTGTTCAGAGAGCACATGAAGCCATGTGCAGCAGCGGGAACCTTCAACTCTCACTGCTGAACTAGAGTGCATATCAGATCCAATCAACATGATTAATAGGAAGGATATACTGAATTGTATTAGTGACATCTGGAAGGTGATGTGGGAGAACAAGCTTAGGTGACCTGTGGGGTTATGCATCCACTTTTCCTTGTGTAAAATAGGAACTTCAAAGCTTTTGCTTCTGTTTTTTCATGTTTTAAATGCTACTGTCTTAAATGTCATATATTTCATATTATACATTGTTTTTGTGATTATTAACTGTGATAGTGATATATGTGCATTTATATGGTTCGATTGTAATGCAAGATATATTGGGAAGACATATTTTCTTTGAAAACTAAGCAACAAAGATAGTAATGCTCTTTAAAAACCATAGTTTTCAACCTCTTTTTCAATCCCCTTTTTATTGAAGGAACAGCCACAGCCTTCCCTGATGCTGCTACTGTGCCATCACCTGTGATCTCAGGAGGCCTGCCTACCCAGAAGATTATAGAATCACAAAATGTGATGGAGAAAGAAATAGATTTGGCAACTCAGATATCAACAGTTTCCAGCACCTCCCAACTCTTGAGGATATTAGAAACTGTTGCTCCTACAGTGTCTCCTCCTTCTACCAATCTCCCAGCGAAAATGGTGGAAGTTGAAGGTTGGTTGGATTTTGCCCCCTTAATTTAATTCTGAGTCAGTTTCTGACACCCCAGTTGAATGGTTGATGGGAGAGATCCTTCTATGCGAGACTTTGGAAAGTTGCTTCTAATTCCGATAGGCAGAAGTCTGACACTTCATGCCTGGCTGAATTATTTGCTCATGGTATCCCTCACTATTCATCATGTTGGCTGGAGCTTCTGGGAGTTTTAATTGAGTTCAATACCACTCAACGGGCCATAGGTTGCCCAGCCTAGGCTATGCCATGCGTGGGCATCCTATGGTCCTAAGCTTCATATAGCAGTTAGTCAAAATTAATTTGAGTGTAAGAGCTATCTTTATGTTTATTGTGGTTTAATGCTTGCAAGAAAAGAAATCCAAATTTGCTAGGTAGGCAAATAGGTAGTCCCTGACATACGACCACAATTGAATCCCAAATTTATGTTGCTAATTGAGACAGTTAAGTGAGTTTTACAACTTTTCTTGCCACATTTGTTAAGCTATTAAATTAGTAACATGGTTGTTAAGTGAATCTGGTTTCCCCATTGTCTTTGCTTGTCAGAAGGTCACAAAAGGTGATCACATGACCCCGGGACACTGCAACCATCATAAAAGTGAGTCAGTTGTCAAGCATTCGCATGTAAATCATATGACCATGGGGATGCTACAATGGTCATAGGTGTGAAAAATGGTCATAAGTTACCTTTTTCAATGCCGTTGTAACTTTTAATGGTCATTAAGTGAACTGTTGTAAGTCGAGGACTACCTGTAGTCTAATCTAATTTACTATATTAACTGTCACGAAAAAATACATGGTTTTAAGAATGCCAAATCTCATATCAGTTCACTCAAACATAAAGTTTTCTATTGAAGTACTGTCCTGGTTAATAACCCTGCCCTTATAACCCCAATTAGTAGACAGGAGGTGAGTAGGAAAAAGTCTTTTTATTAGTTTTTAAATTTATATACTTTTGGAGTACTAGGAGATTTAATGTATCAGTGCACGCTATAGTGTTTGTTTTCCTTTTTGCATTTGTATAATGTTTGTGTTTGTAGTTTTCCTTAATTTTGTATTACATGGCAGTTTACTTTGCATTATAAACTATTTTGAGATATATATTCTGAAAAGTAATTGTCCAAGTAAATTAATATATTATATTAAATACAATTGCAACCAACTAGTTCAGTGTTTCTCATCCTTGGGGGCTTAAAGATGTGTGGACTTCAACTCCCAGAATTCCCCAGCCAGCTTCAAACCCCCAAGGTTGAGAAACACTGAACTAGATAGTAGAAGTTTTCTTTCAACTCTAATATTAGATCCCAAGATCATCAATTGAAAGAGATTGTTAGAGATTCAGGGTACACTGGAAGAATTTTTTTCTTCATACACCACATAATGAAGTGGTGGAATTATTTACCGTAATAAGTAAAGATACACAGCAATTCAAATAGCTTCAAAACATTTGGGAATCATCCTTAATTCATGTGCCAAGAGTTTCCACATGTATCAAATACATATTCTCACCTATTTCCATCTGCTAGTATTGATTGGGGTTCTTATCTCCAGCCATTGGTTAAGGATGATGAAAATTATGAGACATCTTTCTTAGTCACAGTGTGCAATCTTATAGGTCTCACTTGTGATTCTTTCTTGGCTTCTAGAACCTGTCACCCTCCTAGAGAATAAAGAGATCATTTCTGTTGCCTATATTCCTGCGACGCTGGCTGATCTGAGGGTGCCAACTGAAATGACTGTTGGCACAATGGAGACGATGACATCTCTGCCTTCTTTGGCATCTTCTACAAGGCAAACCACAGTTCTAGCTGCCCACCGAATCACAACAGCTTCAACTTATGGGCTGGAAAGGCTGGAATCAGAAGGTACTTAAGTAAGATGATTTGAACAGGGCTCTTTAAAATATGGATACTCCCCAACAGGAATTGACTGTAAGAATGTAATGGTCCGAATATCTGTATATGGTAATACAAAAACTCTTATGTCTGTTCGGTTGTTGGTAACTTGGGTGAAAGAGTGTATCATAGGGAAACAATTTGGAATCAAAATTCCTCAAATGGGTTATAGAACATGTCCAAAATGCAGGACCTATGACTCTTGTGGGATTGAAATTTAGCAAAGTTGTAAGTAAGTTGTAAACCTTAAACCTGCCTTAAAGCATAGAATCCAGTTGGATGGCTTTTGAGTACACAGTCACTTTCACTTAGCCCTAGGAAGAAGGCAATGGTAAATTAGTTCTGGAAATATTGCCTAGAAAAATGCATGGGCTTGTGCATGTAGTTGCAAGGAGTCAAGATTGACTTGGAGACAGATCTCTTTGTCTCTCTCTGTCTCTCTCTCTTTCTCCTTGGTCCCAAGTTATTCTTTTATTGCTTACCAGAACTATTTTTTACCAAATCTGACCTCAAGGTTTTTAAGGAATACTATTTCCAAGTTATCTTAAGAATATCTCTTATTCAAAATACTCAGGAACGTCTCATACTCAAACTATTCAAATATTCTTGGTCCAGCATGATTATGCCACAAACAGATTAAACGCAGAGTTGCCTTGAAGTGCAAGATGAGCGACATATACGTTTAATAAATAAGTAAATAAAATACTTTTTGAGTAAACTGTAAACATGCGAATTAAGAATTACGCTAGATTTCACACTACATTGTTTCTTTACCCAAGGCTTAATAGATGATTATAAGATTCAGCGTTCAGCATCTCAGAGCATGGGGAAATGTCTCTCAAGATGTTTTTATGTTAGTAGAGTAGCTTCATTTCTGTACTCTGATGTTAAACTCTCAACTTTTATTGGAAAGACAAAGGTCATTTGTTCATAATCAAAGGTCTCTGAACTTTGTTGTTCTTTGAGGCAAGTAGAGGGGGATTACTGGAGAAAACAGGAAACTTGTCTATCCCAGAAGGTGATAAGCCTGATCAAAGTTTTAGAGTCCGAAAAGGGAGGGGAGGGTGGTTGCTGCCTAGTGAAA